TTCCACAAATCCATGAGGCTGTTGCATCTGTAGCTTGGTAACAACTGAGCTGGTTACATTCAAAGCAGTGTTGATAGCAGCTAAGAGTAAAGTGTGCTAAAATAACACTAGTGAACTCCTAATAAATAATGCTGGGTAAATAATCACTAACAGTTCAATATATAGACTGCAGGGATGAAACTACACGACATGACAGGCAGTGCTAATCAACCTCCTTTGCTTTTGCCACTCTTCTCTAAATCTCTGTCAGTTAGCATAGTCAGAAACCCCGGCAGAGAGAGTTGGAGCGATAATTCTTCTGCCATTTGTCATGGAAACACATTAAACTGCATTCCCCAAAATTATGTCTAGGTCTTGGCTCAGAGTCCATCCAACTTTTTCCCCAATAATGTCATGTCACACATTTAAACTAATTCCTCCTTCCTCAGTTTCTTCTTACCAGTGCTCTGCAGCCTCAGCACCCTCTTTTCAACAAATTTAGGGATGTAGTTAAATTATTGTTTTATTGTAGCTTTTTAAATCTTGATCAGCTGCTCCACATTGTAAAAAATAAACAGGTTGCTATGGTTATGCATCATAAAAATGTCCCAAAATACATGATATCAGGTAAAATCCATCCATCTGCACAAGATCCAACTTTACACAATAACTTGGTCTCAGTTAAAATTTCTTGAATGTACTTTTTTTTTTTTAGATAACATTTGATTCAACAGAGTAACATTGTTTTAGAAAAAAAATAATAAAATAATTAAGAATTCAAGGCAACTCACCCGTTTTTCCTGTGGGAAAAAAAAATAAATCTATAATTTTTATGAAGAATGAACCCATTTCTTTTCATTACCATTTCATTTCATGGTCTTCACAAGGACCATGGAGAACTCAGTTTACTACCATGAAATAAATTACAAAACAAAGGAGAGGTAAAGAAGACAAATCACAATTTTAAGCAAAAATAAAAATATTGCTTTTGGTTTTTGTGTGAGGAAATTTGATCTATTCTTCTATCTAAATTAAATTTAGGGTCATATAAATGAGGATCTGTTCCAAATTAGTTTAAGCATATCTTAAACTGAAATAAATCCACTTATAATCTGTATTCACTTCATTCATCCTCTTTCATATCCTAGCATCATGTATCTTTATTTAACAGATCCAGGAGAGACAAAGAGAGCGATGTTGGGGAATGAGATGGATGAGATGAATCAAAATGATGCCACACAGGTGCCCTCATGGAGCAGAACCAGTTCATGGATGGCTGCAGGGACCATCCAGATGGCGCATATTTCAAATTAAAGTTGAACCGTACTATCAAAAATTGTCATTCATAAGAAAGATGGCTTTATTCCAGCATTTCTACACAATAGAATAGGCAGGTGACTGCAAACAGATTGCTCATTCTGGTGTGCGAAGGCAGTTCAGATTTGTGAATGTTTTCCATTTACTGATGCTGAGTTTGATCTGTTTTTAATTAAATGTTCTTATTTTTTTAGATTTTTATGCAGATGATGTATGTTTGCAGGAGTTCCATTGGCTTTTTAAACAAGAAATGTTAAACACCTAAAGGAGAGGCTCAAAGCTACGAGGATCTCCTGACCTGGTCCTTTGCCTGATAAGCCTGTTCATAATCCTTTCATGCTGGCAACAATTTTCTCAGTCAGGATGATGCTTGTTGGCATTCAGTCTGCTTACTGGTTATTTAGTGCATGTTTTTCCCCACAATAAATTGCCCGTCTGCCTGGCTGGCATTAGCCCAACTCACACAGCCTGCATGTCAGATGAACCCTTCTCCGTAGTGAAGAGAATTTCATCTCCTCTCCTGGATCCGGATAATTTTGCTCATTTCACTAACTGAGCCTGCAAAGGCCTTTACTGTGTTCCATTAGTGCCATGAAGCCAGTGTTTCCAAGTTTTAGTCAGTGGTGGATATGAATGTCTGTCATATGCCTCACTGCCCAGGGCGTCACTCCACCAATGGCAAAAGAAAGTTGTTATTTACACTAAATACGTATTTTACATCTATAGTCAATGTGGACAGAGCTGTTTCAGTAAAATATAAGAGATCCCTTTAATCTCCAAATTTGAGGACAAGTTTCCTGTGTATTTAAGATGTGTACCTGCTTAAATATCTAAATGTTGGAATTATCTTTTAAAATGGATATCTGTAATTGATCCACTGATTTAAATCATGAGTGCTAAAGCAGATTTTTTTTTATTATTTATTATTGCTTGGAGAAAAAAAAATAATAATTTAGTTTTTGGAGGGGGTTACTTAGTGGCCCTGTTTATGTAAGAACTGCCACTGGTTAAAAGTCAGAAAAAAAATCTGGAATGGCTGGTTAGATTTCATATTTTAACTTTGGAGTTCCTTGTATCTTGCCAACCTTTACCTCAAAATCCAATAAGGCTGCCACAAGTAATAAGGGGACGGTGTGGTTATCTGCAGTTTTTATGTTTTGTGAGAAAATTATAATTTTTTTGATTGTCTACAGATCTCTTTGTGTAATTCTCATTCTCAACCCCTGGACAAAGGACATTATTTTGAGGACCAGAAAGTTCACATTTTGTACAAAGAAGACAGGTGGTTTGAAAGGGGTGTGAAGGAAGCCATTTGTGTTAAGAGGGGAAAAAACAACCTTAAACAGAGGGAGTGTTTTCAGCTCTTAAAAATCTACAATGCTGCGATAAAGTTGATTCCTTCTTACTATCATAACTCTGATGGCCATGCAGGGGAAAAGGACAACTCGCCTGGTCAGCCAGGCTGAAATTGACCCTAATGACTAATATCTTTCCGAGGCATAGACCAGTATCGAGTATTGCAGGCTAACAAAGACCTCAACGACTTCCCATTCCTAAGGGACGGACCTCTTGATCCGGGTTCATGTAGCATGTTTTCTAAACCCAAACAAGGCTTTGTTGGGCTACTTTTTAAAGCTTGGGACTGAACGCTAATTCTGACATTTCAATTGAATTGAAAAAGTTTCCTGGATGGGAAGCAAAATGTCTTCAAACTTGGAAAACAAAGTCCAGTGGATTATTTATTTTTTTTTCTCCCATTTTTTAGGACTGGGTAACTTAAGTATTTCTGTAGAATTTGAAAGTATTAAAAATCAATACTATTACCTGGAATTGCAAATTGTAGTTTGCCTATTTAACATGAAATGTCCTATAATAGCAGAACTTATACTTTTTGCACAAACATAAAGTGGCTAATAAGTTGTTCTGTCTTTTCTCTCTGAAGTTGGATTTTTCCTTGATTCACATTTATGCTACGTTCAGACTGCAAGCAGCAGAGGCAGCAGCTAGTTTACATGCAGGAGCCTCACAGGCTTTTGAGCATCTGACATGCATTACACGCTTCAGAAGCAACAGCTGCTAGAGTTGGAAAAATTTTACTTTTGCTGCGCGACACGCCAACCAACCAATCCGAGAAGCTGATCTGGGAGCTGGCATGGAGACAGACACAGCGCTGCTGATGCGCATTGCTATGATCACTCCTTTTTATTAAAGCCTAAATTAACTTAAAATGTCAAAACCTTCCCACAAAATATTGTCAAGAACAGGGTGAGGCTGCTTGAGGACCCAAATGCAGAGATGAGTGAAGCAGAGATGAGTTCTTGTTGATTAAATAGAAAACTGATGCCCACATCCAAAAATGCAAAATACAAAGAACCAAAAAACCAGAAAACCTCAGGGAAAACTTTTGTGGGGAGCCAGGCGAGGAAGCAAGGAACCAGCACTATGACTGCAGAGGTGTTGTACATAAGAGGAATGGAACAAAGAATGAGCTGAATATGGAGCAGGTGTGAGTGGAGCTAACTAGAAGAAAGCCAAGGGGAAAGGAAAAACGCACAAGGGAGCAACAGAGAGAAACTAAAGACTGCTTGAATATAATTGAGATTAAACCAAAATCACAAAACAGAAAAACTAAAAACTCAGAGTCCCAAAAGGGGAGGACCATAACAAATATGTTTGCTTTTATTATTCTGGTGCCTGCAGATTTGATTAGGTACTTGAAAAAGGCCTTCCAGCCACCATGCAAAGTAGCGGAAAACCGTGAAGAGGCGACCGGGCCAGAGGCTGCTGTTGAACGGGATTTCCAGGGACAGAGCTCGTTAAGTGTACGGAGGTCTGAGTGGCTCTGACAGTGAAATAATATATGAAGGCAGGATCCTAATCTTTATGAACTGACTGCACAGATGAAGATTTCAGGTGGACTTTCTCACTTAAAAATATATTAAAACTACTTTTTACCCACTTATAAGGGCAAATATAGCTGCCATTGTTTCAGGTAAAGAAAGGATAGGGTAGCTCTGCCGCTAACTGATGCTTCAACTAAGATGCATCAGAACTAAACTAGTACAAGCACCAAAAATGAAGCAGCAGGCGCATTTTTGCTGCTTCTGCTGCGTGCAGTCTGAACATAGCATTAGACAAAGCAACTGCATCTACTCAGCAATTAAAACGACATGGGTACAACATGGCAAGGGTCAAAAAGGTAACAAGTAGATACAAAATGGTGAAAGGGAGAGGGAAATTTCAAGATTTGGTGTCTATTTTAAACTATACATTGTCATCATGGTTCGTGAACGACATTGTTTTAAATGCACTAAGTGCATGCAATTAGGACATGCTGAAATCTGATAAATATAGGATGATGGATAGATAGATTCATCCTCATAATTTCTGAAAAGCTAAACTAAATTGAATATTTGTTTGTAATATTGTGCATAGTGTAATTTTTTAGTTCATTCACAAAATACATCAGATGTAGCGATGCTGTGGTGGCTGCCTGATTGATTTATAAAAATGATCCAAAAATGTGTAATTCTTTTGCTTTCGTTTAATTGTAGGTAGGCCTGGATAAAATATCACCAACTAGATAAAAAGAAGAAGAAAAAGTTAGGCGTGGGAGTCAGATCCCATCTCATTTGAACCGGCAGAGAGGGCCTGCTCGTTTTCGAGCGACACATCCATGCCGCAGCTCCCCTCATGACCAGCAGGTGGAGCTGCAGCAGCGCTGCTGTTCCGTGAGGAGCCGCTGTTCTCCGCTTCGTCCATGATCCTGACGTATTTCCTGGGGCTTGTGCCGACCACTCAGCGGTACACCGGAGGGGTATCATGACTGTTTATAATCAGCAGTTGTCTTTTACGCGTTCTTCAGTCGTTTCGCCGTGTCGTCGTCGGATTTAACACCGCCACGTGAGACAATAAGCCACAGGATCGAGCAGGATGTAAAGGAAGCTGGTAAGTTTAGCCCTCGGTAAGTTTACCGTCTGCTTTAGCTTGTTGTATCTGACTTGTTCTGGTCGGGCTGCCGACTTTAACCGAACCAGCCGCTCCCGTACCACCGAAAGCTTGACACGTTGGACCAGGGAAGGATTATCGACTGCGCTGTCAGCTGGTTTTCCTCTCCCAAAGCGGAGAAAACACACAGAAAACCCGAGTCTGCGTCGACAGCGCCGTGTCCCGGTTTCTGTGGTTCTTTCCTGCGGAGATCGAAAATAAACTCCATATCGGCTCTTATATCGGCTTCTCTCCTCCCCCCCCATAAAAAACGCGAAACGATCGTTAGAAGTTGATAAGAAAAAAAGGGGGAGGCACCTGTGAGAGAAGCAGTGTGGCGTCAAGTTTGCGTTAATCACACAGCGCTGGATTCTCAGACATATTTGTCATCATCATCATCATCGGATCAGCTCCAGCCAAAGATCCCACACTTACTGCGTGTTTTCATCGTGGACTGAACTCGGTGAGTCGAACCCACGGAGGACTTACAACTTGATAAACATTGATATTTGAAGTTTGGCTGAAGCTCTTAGGAGAGTCTTTTTCTGCTCGTTTCGGTCCACGATTGTTTAATTATGAGGCAACTTTAGTTAAATAAAGTCTACCCTGGTCTAAGAGAGTGGGAATTGTAGGTCATTAGTTCCTGGGGATGTTTGTGTGTTGTGGCTGCATTGGTTCATCATCATCATCATCATCATCATCATCATCATCGTTGTTGTTGGGTTGTTTACCTCTGTGTATCTGCAGCTGTGGTTCAGCATTATTATTAGGCTGGGGATCATTTTTGGAGAAACACTGAAGCAAAGCTGTGAAACTCACTACAGGCTGCGACAAAGACGCACATATTAACACATCACAGAAAGCTTGA